AATAAAGCCTATATTTGTACACTGAATTCAAAAAAAGCAAATCATTCACAGTTTTTGGCCCAATACGGTTACCTTTTTCAGTTATTATGTTACCTGAGGCAGAAAAAACTCGTTCTGAAGTGGCACTGCGTGCAGGTATAACCAAAATTTTTTGAGCAAACTTATATAACCGAGGGTATTCTGAATTATGACTTTCCCACCACTGCATAACAATAAAATTAACATCAAGTTCTATTTTGAGATAACGGATGTTTGAATTGAGGTCATAAAAGATAAGAAAAATAATTGGAAATCCTGTTGTGATTCATTATGGATTGCAAGATTAGTTGGACTATCGGACGACGAAACAGATTTCATTATTTCGGAGACACAAAACTCTTTAACTTCATTTAATTTACTTTCGTCTAGACAAGAATGGGTAGGTGGACCCAGAAAGCAAGCCGTATAGTGGGAAATACTTAAATTAGGAATGTACTTTGTTTCCATTTCTCTTAAAATATTTCTTTTTAATGCCTTTATTACTTGCATATAAGTATCTCTTTCTTCGCAAATGGATCTGACGGTGTTGATTGTTAATTATACGAAATTTAGTGTGACGTAATTTACACCTTGTAACTTACAATATCAAGCTTTTCAAAAACCTCAACTAGTGCATTAAGATGGGCTAAGTTATAAGTCTTTTTAAAATACTTTACTAACTTTTTGCAAGCATCCAAAAATGGAACTAATTCGGTGGTGCTGTTAAAACCACAATCCAAAACATTACTCAAGTGCTGATTTGCACAGTTAATCCTATTTTGATTTTTAATAGCCTTCACAACGTTTGATCCTCTGTCAGTAACAAACGTAATATTCTCCATGTTATTTAATTCGAAATCTGCCAAAATGGTGTTAAATTTCGTTAAAACATTAGTTGCCGTGCTTTTATCTAAATGCATTGATTTTACGCCTAAAACAATTTCTTTTAACTTTAATTCTTTCATAAAATGAAATGTTGCACATAAGAAATTTCTTTTGACAAAATTGTCAGTCCAGAGATCTGATGTTATGGACGCCGTTCCGCTTGTTATTGCTAATTTCAATTCCTCCATCATTAGTATTCTTTTGTCGTCTGCTATGTTGTTTATTCGTCATGATATGGTTCTGGAATTGGGCAAGATTAAATATTTGCTTTCCATTATATTTTAATATGTTATTACACTTCTCACCACTCCATCAATAACCATACTTTCGTCATTTTCAATTTGACAAAAAATATCCCTAAATTTTACTTCTGCTTTGTTTATTTTTTACAATACGAAAAACACCGTTTTCAATATTTTTTTATTATTTCAGAGTTTATCTTGAAAACTTATTTAAACGAAATTAACACATTGATTTTGCACTATGTAATCTGAGCTTTTATGAATCATTTGATTGTTTTGCTTACAACTGAAAACACAGTTATAATTTTTGAGTGGTTGTTGCTAGCGGCATTTAAAGACTGATTGAGTAAATGACAAGCAATGTTATTAGCACATGCTGATAATTTAAAACAAAACAAAGACAGTGAGTACATACATATAGGAAAAAAGTGAATCAACTCGTGTACATCTTTGGCCCAAAAACTGAAGAAGAAAAGAAAGAGATGTAAAAAGTTCCATATTAAAGGCTTTGCAGTCAAGTTGCTGAATCGTTTTTCTCAAAATCCCGCCAAAGGTCATTGCCTCGTGTGATATCAACTGAAGCGGAGCTAACATCTGTAATGAGCGTAATGCAAGAAGCGATTTAGTTACATCGGGTAGAGTATAAACTAATTCATGGTAGTGCAGAAGGGATAAAAATGTACTGTGATAACAAGAGCGCTATTCACATTGTTCGGAACAATAATAATAAAGGAGAGAAGTTACGAGATAATCATTGCAGCTGAAATATATTTCAACAAGCGAAATGTTAGCAGATAGTTTAACAAAGGTTATACCTGCAGTTAAGAATTAAATTAATAATGCTAAATTAGGCTTAAAGTAAAGGCATCTATCATTTGGCACAGTTTTTGATTTAACTACCATATTGCTACAAAAGTAGTATTAAGTTTGGTACCACTTGTATTTGTATTGCTATATGCATCCCTTATTATAAACATTGGGCGCCGCGGTTGACTGTTTGTTTACTTATAACATGAACAATAGCTGCATGTATATGGAATGTATAACAGCATTATTTTATGTGTTTTTCTTGCTATATACATTCCTTATTATAAACATTGGGCGCCGAGTTTGTCTGTTTGTCTACTTGTAGCATAAACATTAACTGTATATGGAACGTAGAACGCATTATGTTCTTATAATTGCCAGACACAATATTCTAGAGGTACACTTCGGCATCAGCGAGGAGTGCATGGCTATATAAGCCGTGGTAGCGCCAACGTAAGGAAGTAAGAGTAAACTGCTATAGTGTAGACGAATTGTGAAATAAAGAGATTTTGTTAAAGTGAATTACCGGTTTTTAGTTTTATTTGTCAATCCAGAGATACGAACCTAGTAAGGAGTAAATTCGCAACAATATTATTAGTGTTATCATTTGTTCTATTAAAGAGAAGTGTTATGAAATAATGTAAATTGGCATCACTAAATTTTATATTCGTTTTATACTGTTCTTATGTACTTCACGTGCACGACAATGAACTGAAAATGGTAGTGAACTGCAAATGGCGTAGTGAATACTTCTACATGAACATTTGTGGCTGGCATATACATAAAACAACGCAGCTGTCAATTTGTTATGCACACAATTTCGTTGTGACCATACTAATACCTTTCACTTAAATAACATTTTAAAACTTTGTTTAAAGTGATAATTTTTATGCAAAAAATAAGTAAATAGGTAAATATTTTTATTTTGAATTATGAATTGTTATTACAAATGATATAACAGAGTTACTTTATGTTTTTATTTGTAAAATAACATCAGCTTTGCTAGAGGTTTGAATAATTCTAAATTTTTACATATTAGTGGCATCACTACTGTACATCATCTCTCTACTGTCAACTCTACTGTCCTTGGCACATATGAAAATATATTGAAGTTAGCGAGAACGACAACTGTCGACCCGCAGTCATGTATTCGTGAAGCTGTCAAAATAACTATTTGACAGATGTCGTTTGCAGTCTATCGTGCTCAATGTTTAGCACGTCACATTCAGTCGTCGTCTTACATTGATACTCTATATATCAAAATATCATTGATCATATTAAATGTATTATTTTGATTGGTATTTAACATTTATGCTACAATTAGCATAGTCCAAAAATATGAAATCTTTTTTTATTGAAAAAAATTTGTCAAGAAAAGTATATTTCTTCATCTGTTTAATATCTACATAAATTTTTTCATTCATATAAATATTTAAACAGTTCAAGAGCTCAAAACATGTACTATGTTCGGAAAGACAACGAAAACAAGTTTTCGTGGGAAAAACTGGTTTTCGCAGGAAAACTTGAGTGTTCGTCCATGTAAAATCTGTTAAACGAAAACACAGTTTTCGCTGAAAACTACTTGGAAACTTACATTTCACTCATTATAATCATTGTCTGTTCTAGTTAAATCGAGTTTTTTTTTTGTTGAGGACGTATTTTGACGGTCCTAAATTGTCACTAGATATTTGTTTACATTCCATATACAAATGCAGCTGCTCACAGTTACGGGATTCTCCTGGTACAACAAACACACGCAAAAATTTATTTGCAATGGCTGTAAAATATGTCAGACCAAAACCTATGTTTATTTTCGTTCCGTCATATATCACTAGATTCTGCAATGGGTGCTCTCTTGGCCTTGCATATTTCGGTATAGAATTTTTACATTTTATGTCATATTGCAAGAGCAAGAGAATTCTCGTATTGATAGTTGTCAGTGAAAACTCATCGAAAACACACATTGTCGGTCCGAACGACTTACATTCCACTACATACAAATGTGTTTTCAAAATGTCTGTCCAAACATCGTATTACGCTACATCAGCATGAACCTACATACCCCTTTTCACAAATGATTATGTTATGATAACAAATGCTCACATACAAATTTGGCAATGGAACAGATTTGACCATTAGTATGCCATAAACTGTAGCCTCTCGAAATGCGGGGTTAGGAAAATGCGGAAACCATAAAAGCTTTATAGTTTGTATATTTGGTAACACTGAAGGCGTATGAAATTATCTAACAAAAATCTGCAAAGGCAGTTTTTATTCCAAGACATTTTCTTAGTTCCTAGCAACATGTTGACGTTAAGAGGGGCTATAAAGTCGGACAAGAGTATTTTACCACTGTTATGTAACTTAAGTAAGTACACTTATAATTATATTGTAATATTTATAATATTTCAAATCGCTGAAAAAGCAAAAAATGAAATATTTTCCCAGTAACCCTTTTGGGACAAAATCACACCTAACCTAAAGGGCACTTTCGGCCAATGGATGTTATGCAATTGTGGCTTGTTTATTGTTAGTTCACACCTCAATTAGTGTTATCAAAATGATATTAAAATTGTGGTTAAAAAATTTAAAACAGTAAAAGGAGCTGCGATTAATTGGCCGCAGCAATCTGAGATGCCGTCGTAAAGAGTGAGTCGTCTTGATTAAAAAGTAAATGTTTACTTTACGATATATAATATAAAATAAATTATTATAAATGAATTAGTGAAATTTGAAAGTAAAAATTTAAGTGTGTTTTTCCGATTTATAATGAATTTTTTAACTGTTATATCCAATAGACCATCATTAATTCGCTTCCACACATTTGTTATGTATTAATTCCATATCTAACTTTTGCTGAAATCCATTTTCTCTTACAATAAGAAATTAGTTGTATTCAAACAATTAGTGTTACCAAATTTTGGAATCGAGTAAAAAAGAAAGAGAGCACCACCAATATTTACTCTTTGTCGAATTTCATCACCGTGGAAAATCTCGGTGTTGGCTCGGTACAATTCCGATATTTTTGGCTACGCGATAGCAAAATTGGAACATTTCAAAAAGCTATTTATGCACGTTTTTCACTTTAAATTAATTTAATTAAACTGTAAACATTTAAACAAACTATTAACTGGACATTGCAGCCTTAAATTTGTTATTTTTTCCAAAGAAATTTATTTGTACGAACATATTCAAAATTAAACCTCAGGTACAATCCCTTGGAACATATAGCGTTTTCGCCTTTATTCATAAATAAAATGTACATTATATTGAATAGTTTGTTATATGAATAATAGTATAAAATGCATACCACAGGAACGCGTGACCGGATCCCCTAGTCTAAATATTTAAAAGAACTATAGGACCCATCCACGCTTTACTGTAGGTGACCCATAGATAATACTACTTCTACCATCTATATGATTTCTATTAGTTAGATTATAACAATTAGTTAATGATATATAGCAATTTCGTGAGGCAACTTGTGTTAGTTTACAAGAAAAAAAAAAAAGAAAAACAAAAAAGATCATAAAGCATTTCGTGTGTTAATAAAGCATTGCGTTTTGGTTAAAATACTGTTGCCCAAGCTGGCTCTGTACCATGGAGATCAACCGTTGAAAAGAGATTTGCTAAGTTGGAAAGAGTCGAAATGAACAAAAAGAACGAATTACTGCCTTTGTGTTTCAGTGCTCTATAATAATAATACAACTGGAGTCCAATCTATAGATATTGGCAAGGTTATGACATCAGTCTTTTGGGACTTTTTATAGACCGCTTACTGAGTCATTTATAATCCATTGCACTGTGTATTTGTTAACAATTCTATTTTACTATTCTAAATATTTAGCAATTGTGTTTTTTTTTTTTTTATTAAGGATCAGTTTCAAATAGTGCGCATACATTTACTCCATCGCTATGGAGCTCCGATAATAAACGCGTCCCATCGCTGCTAAATTCAAAGTGCTATATTAAAAACCGCGGCCTTCGGCGCGCTATTTATAGACACGCTCCGGTTAACCCCATTACTTGTCGTAAAAAATAAATGACAAAAAAATGTTATTGTCTGATATCAAAAAGTGATATGGGTATAATACCTAGTACATTATTTTGATAAATCTTATAGGGGTCAGATGGCGTTTGCAGCACAGGCGGAAAAAATTTAATTATTTACGACATCACATAAGGAAACTCAAAAATAACAGTATTCCTCCACTTTTAATGGATGTTGTTATACATATAAAGATTCCTCTTCAATAACTATATGTGACCAGGTCTACGGAAAGGGGGCTTATAGGTGTCAAAAAAATCCAAAAAATCAATTTTCAATTTTTAGTTGATTGGGATGGAAGATGAGATTTTTAACAACTGTTTCCCACAAAACTAGTTTTCGCACGTTAGCTCTCTTTTCGTACACCAGGGCACATATATTTAAAAAAAACTACGTACTTTTAAAGATATAACCATACAAACGAACATGGGGACAGAAAAATCGACTTTGTTTTATACTATGTGCTATATGATCTATTAATTACACTATTTGTAGCGTAAGAATGACTGAACCAATTTGGCTGAAACTTGTTGGTTAGGTAGCTTTGAAGCAGAGGACTGTTTTGCATACTTTTTATCTCTTTATGTTAAAATACAATTCATAAATATCAAAATTATATTTTATTCAAAATTCATGTAAGACAATTGAAAATTTGATTACTTAAAAAAAAAAAAAATAAAAATAAGTAAAAACAAGTAAGGAAGCGCTAAGTTCGGGTGTCACCGAACATTTTATACTCGCTTCAAATACCGTATTTGTGTAAAGTTTTATTCCGCTATCATCATTGGTTTCTGATGTATGTATTATACAGAGAAGGCGTCAGATGGAATTCAAAATAGCGTTATATTGGAAGAAGGCGTGGTTGTGAACCGAGAAACTATTATGTACCGAATTTCATTGAATTCGGTCGAGTAGTTCCTGAGATATGGTTTTTGGGTCATAAGTGGGGGAATGTTTAGTATCGCGCCGGTTAAGTATCGTTTATGGAGAAAAACAGGGTCGGGCTATCCCCCCTCCCGACCCTTTATTGGAAAGAGGAAGGATCGAACTTTTTAATAAAATAACCCTGGTCGATCCAACACCGGGGTGTTCAGAGTTCTTCGCGTAGAACTCCTTTCTGTACTGGAGGCCTTCGGCCGCGCTTTAAAAAAATAACC